TCGTGACTGAGTCTTACCGTGCAAGGCCACGTGCCAATTTCCACAGGTACTGTGACCTTTCCCAGGGGTCTGACCTCTTCTCCGCTGAAGCCGACCAGTGGGGTGTTCGTGGGCTTTAAGTCACTCTCTCGGAACTGGAGCTTGTCGAAGGCCGCTTTAAAGAGGATGTCTGCCGAACTGCCGGAGTCAATGAGTACCCGTCGGACTTCGAAGTCGTTGATCTTCATCTTTATGACAAGTGCGCCGTCGTGGGGGTAGTGGACCCCGCACGCATCGTCTTCGGTGAAGAATATAGGGTCTTCCGTCCTAGGCCGCTTCGGGGGATTTCGTTCTTCTCTGGCGGCTTCCCAGGTCGACACGCGAGCTGCTGCCGAGGTGCACCCTGCCACGATCGATCCTCCAACGATCACGTGGATCGTTCCCTGAACTAGTCTTTCCTCTGGGGGCTGCTTCTGTGGTTCCGCTGGCTGGCTATTGGACTCGGGAGCTTCCTTGCTGTGCTCTCCCTGCCGACCTGGCTTATTACTATTATTATTATTATTGTGCTGTACAAAATTTCGTAGATACCCGCGATGGATAAGTTCCTCTATCTCGTCGCGGAGATTATTATAATGTTCGGTGCTATGACCGTGATCGCTATGGAAACTGCAGTACAAGTTTTTATTCCTCTCGTTCGGGTTTCCCTTTAGACGAGGTGGCCACTTCACATATGGGGGGCGTCTTTGATCGTCATTAAGATCTCGGCCCGCTTCGCGTTCAAGGGTGTGTAGTCCGCCCGAGCTGCTAAGGGAGCTTAGAACGGCTGGCTTGGCCTCATCTCCCGAGCTGGGTCTTTCCTTCTTCTGTCATCTGGGTTGGAGGGCTCACCTTCCCTCTTCCTTTTCTCGATCCCGCTTTCAGTCATTTGGTTGATTTCCTCCTCTGTTCTCATGAATTTGTCCGCGAGCTTGAGGAATGCAGTCACGGTCGCGGGCTGGCTAACTACCATGTGCCACTTGAACTCCTTGTGTGTCACTCCTCTCTTGGCTGCCGCGAGCTGCACCGCGGGGTCTAGTCGCGGTATCTGCAAGCATGCGTCATTGAACCGCTTGATGTAGCCTCGGATGGACTCTCCTCTCTGGACTACTTCAAAGATGCTCTCCTCGGTTCTGGGGCACCGCTTGCTGGTAACGAAGTGCGCGGTGAAGACCTGTACGAATTGGGTCCACCTTCTTATTGACCCGGGGGCCAGATTCCTGTACCAGGTACGGGCCACCCCCCTGAAGGTGGTGGTGAAGGCCACGCACATGCAGGATTCACTGGCCCTTGGTAGGTGCATTTGGGACTGGAAGGCATCGATGTGGTCGTTGGGGTCGAAGGACCCGTCATACTTGTCTAGAGAGGGGAGTTTGAAATCTCTGGGCATGGGGACTGTAAGGAGTTCTGACGAGAGGTGGGAGGGGACTGAGAGAATAGGGGCAGCATTTTCCTCGTCCGAGCTTGTCTCTTCTTTACCTCGGAGCTCGGGCAGGACGTGGGTGGTAGTTCGGCGACTTCGCCGGCGTCTTCGTTGCTGCTTAGAGGGTCTGGTACTGGCGCTGCTGGCCTCGGTGTTTCCGAGCTTGATGGGCCCGGACTGTTGGTAGTCTGCCGCTAGGACACCGAATCGGTTCTCTGTGGGCGGGAGCTCAGACTTGGAGTGTCGAGGTGCTGACTTGGATGGCGAGGAGCTTCCCGATCCGCCGGCGAGCTGCGAGGCGGGGGTGATTAGTCTTTCCCTTCGGCTCGGGGATGAGGTCTGGCTCTTGGAGGGGTTCTGAAGTTAGGAGGCTTCTCCTCGGTGAAGGCGTCCGCCCTTTGGGGAGGGCTTAACCGGCTTCGGAGCGGGGTGCCGAGGTGGAAGCTGTGGTTGAGAGGCAGTTGGGGGAACTATTGTTGATAGTGATACTGAGAGATGTGGTGCAGTACTTGGTGCTGCTGGAGCTAATGCTACTAGAACTGCTGCATTTGGGCTTGCATTGCCCGCATGCACTGCATCAAGTCATCAAACTGGTTTTGGCTAGTCGCCGGAGGGAGGACAACTGGTTCGGCAAAGGTTGTCTCGACAGGGAGAGGAAGGGGAACATTCACAGGCGCTACCATGTTTGGTGTGCTGAGGCTAGGGATTTCGTTCGTCGATAGGGGGACGGCGAACTGTCCTATGCACACAGTGGCGGGCTGGGGGTGTTCCCCTACAACATTCAGGTTGTGTCTGTTGTTGTTGGGAGAAGCCATGGGAGCTAAGGTTTCTTTGAGAGAGAGAGAGAGAGAGAGAGAGAGAGTTAAAGGTTAGGGGAGGCTTTTTGAAGTTATCCCACAGACGGCGCCAATTGATGATGCGCAATCCGGTCTGTCCTAGCTGCCGGTTACCTCGCTTCTGACAAGATCAGAGGTGCTTGAAACAAGGGAGAAAATGGAGGCTTCCGGGGAGGAACCCGGTTGGAACACTCCGAAGCTCAAGTTAGTGTTCTTCAGAAGGAAAGGGAAATGAGGAATTCTAAGACCAGAAAATGCAAGAATCACATACCCCTTTCTTTGTGAGATGGGGGCCTTTTATAATCACCATGCGTGCTCACTTCCATGCCTCTGCCAGTTTGGGCATCATTGCCTCTGCCAGATCGGGTCACTTCCTTCTATCAACTGCTAGTTCGGGTGTCATAAACTCCACTGCCAATTGCCAGTTCGGGTGTCATAACCTTCACTGCCAGTTGCCAAGGCCGCCTCTGTCCGTCTGAGATGGCGGTGGCAGGTGGCCGTTGGATGGCGGCTGTCATGTGTCAGTCCTCTGATCGATCAGGTGCGCCGCCTCCGTGTATGGTCTCCTGGGCGTCAAGTACGGTTGCTCAGTCAGGCGATTTGGAGCCGAAGTGGTCTTTTAATGTGAAGTCTCGAGTTCGGATAGGAGTATGGCCCGAACTGCCCCTGGGTGGGTAGTTCGAGCTTTCGGCCTTTGGTGCTCTTTGTAAGGCTCAGGGCCTTGAAGGGAGAGCTCGGGACTCTTTAGTTCGGAGCTCGGTTTGTAGGTTCCTTCGAGGGAGCTCGGCTCTCCTTAGTTTGGAGCTCGGGTTGCAGGTTCCTTCGAGGGAACTCGGCTCTTTAGTTTGGAGCTCGGGTTGTGGGCCTACTGCCGTGCCGAGCTGGCGTTTATGCCAGGTCACTCTCGGTTACTTCCACGTGTCGCATGGCCGAGGGGTCGGGTCAAATCTTTCTCCATCAATAAACATTAATTCCTGCTTGGCACCTATTTTAACTGTATTTCGGGCCTAAAAATTCTGACTCTGGGCTGAACTATCATTCTTTCTATATTAAAATATTTAAAATAAAATATAATTATAATACAAAAATATAAAAAATATAAGCTTTCTTTGCCAAAATAACAAAAGAGAATTGGGGTTTTTATAGTTCAGTCCTTCCTTAGGGTGGAGCTAAGATTTGTAAAGGAGGACTGAATCCTGCCCGTATATTAGATCAGCACCCCACATCCCACCTCAGCAGTGTATTGGATGCATCTCCCCATGACAAGTACGAAAGATGTTCCTGATCCAGTGAGATGTGTATGTGGGGTGTGTTGGGTGGGGCACCAATCTGATCTATGCAAAAGATAGGAGTCTGAGCACATGCTTGGTTTCATGGGCATTTTCTGAAAAAAACGTTGCCATGTCTATGCACTCTAAGTTTTACCATTACTAGACCACTAGGGCCCCACTCAATACTTATTTGTGAAGATTGAACCACTTGTTTGGTTCAATAGTTTATTGAACAAATGCTGAAAAACGGAATTGTTTTCAATTTATTTTTTGTGATTGGAACGGTTGAGGGAAGTGACAAATTCTCGCTTCCCCCAATAGCTTGACGTTTCTCAAAACATAGATCTGACATGGTATCAATGCGGAGGTAGGTCATTAAATAGGACTCCATCATTGTGGTGCCAAGTGCCATATAGCTGTTTTGAGATGACATGTGTCATAATATCAGTAGAGCATCAAATCTGCCCGTATCAATATTCTAATTTTCTTTTTTATTCAGACAACAATGCCATGATTTCCGGTGACAAGAATAGTACAGCAAACAATGAAGATGGTTATTGGCTGCTCTCTTCTTATCTCTGCCAATGATGATGGGGGAGTGAAGTCTCTTTAGCTCTTGGATTGAAGCCTAAAGAAGCAAAAGATGATAAAGTTAGAAATACCACCCACTCATACTTTCTTGATGTACTCTATAGCCTTCATTTTTTATTTATCTCAAAGCCAGCAGCAAGAAATTTTTGATGACTACTAATTAAGTATATAGCAAGGTTGTTAAAATCGAACCGATCAAGGGTCTGGTTCCCAGGTCGAAAAGTCCAACTATTCGAACGGTTTGACTGCCCAAGTCAGTGGTTTATTAAACAAATCGATAGTTTTTGGCGAAATGACGGTTCTGTGGTAAAACAGTCCCAGTTTTTTTTTTCAGTCTGACCGTCCAGTCTAGTCGGGTCCAATTTTAAAAACCATGGTATATAGTCTGGTATAATGGAGGAGAGGTTGTTTGCGTTATATAATCGAACCCCACAACGGAATAACCATCTTCAGTGTTTGCCATAGTATTCCTGTCACCAGAAATCATGGCATTGTTGCCAGAATAGAAAAGAACAATGTCACACTGAATCATGGAACCTGTTGTTTCTTGAAATGCCCCACCAAACAGCCAAATTTGGCGTTTCATGCATCGGTGGGATCCTGATTTTCGAGGCATGCCCGATTTTTTAATAATCGGTTGAATCAAACAATGACATACATGAACGTTTGTTGAAACATCTATGTGAATCCGACGTAACACCGTTTTTTTAAAAAACAGCCACAGTTCCAAACACCCCCTTAGATTGGGTTTGGGACTATGGATTGGATTGAGGCTAACCTGGCACAAGTTGGAGCACTAACCTATTAACAGGATTGGCTAATGAAGGTTGTTTGTTTGCAGTCTTTAGTTAATAAAGAGCGTACTGGAAGAAGAAGAAGATGATAGACAATTTATTGCTTAATTGCTAGCATATATATCAAGTGATAGCAAATAGGTTCATAAACACAACCCCATGACAGGTCCAAGAAGCACCAAATGACCCTTTTCTGGTTCCATTTGCCATAAAAGCAACAACACATAATACCACTACTTAGTACGTACCATCCAATATTGCATGCAAATTCAAATAAAGACATAGACTGTTCAATGTTGTTCATGCATTAACCTTGGACGCCCATCCTGCAATTACATATTCCTTTGCAGCCTTGGTCTTAATGAACGACTCCCGAGAGAAAAGTGACTGCACAGAGTAACATAAGACCATCGTCAGTAGACAAGGCGAGACATGTCTGTTACCATATTTATTTGAAGCAAAGGAAATGTAATTAAGAGTTGATTACTACTAATACTTAGTTACCAATTACCACACCTCAAGTACCTCATTGCAACTAATGTGTCATATTGCTAACAAGAGAATACATCTTTCATTGAAATTAAAGTGGATTTTTCTTTGCTTAATTATAAAACTAGCTAATTAATTGGATGTGGAACTTATAGAAATGGCCTAGAGGAGGAAAGATAAACTAAGTATCATGCATGGACACATTACTTAAAGAGTTAAGGTACATATTGTTTGACATAAATTAAAATATTTTAGCAGATAGAAATGAAGCACAAGTAAAAAGAGGGGAAGATGACTTTAGGTACTGCCATTCATATATATCATTCCATCTTCTGAGCAAGCTAGGAGATTGAAAGTCATCCAGGCACCTACACATTAGATTAGAGACTCCATTGGATGGAAACATGGTTGGGAATCCTTTATTCAGTACAAAAAATTTGGAGTTTTTTAGACTTGGAGTTCTTTCAGGTCCCAAAGTTATATGGCAACATGAATTGTTATGTATATAATTAGAAGGAAGAGTTAAATTTTTACTTCTCCTTGGTGATCGGTCCTTTCAGATCCCAAAAGCAGGGTATCACTGACTTCCTCTGCAACCTAAGTCTACCTTGTTTTTCTTTATAGCCAGAACTCAACTCAATATGTTTTTTTCTTTCTTTTTGGGTGGACAAACTCAATATGATTGGTTCCGGGAGTTCTTGCGACAGCATTTTATCTGTGTGTGTGTGGGTAACCAAAGAGGAGTGCTAGAAACAGACTCGAGGCAACTTCAAGATGGTAGAGTTTATACCATCCAGTGGTATATATGCGTACCTCCATGTAAGTTTTGACAGTGGACAAATCATCTGGGATGGCCCAGCTTTTATAATGGCCAAGAGCAACTTCAAGATGGTAGAGTTTGGGAGCCAGGCTCAAATCAACAGCTGAAACCTTTTCTCCATTAACGTACGGGCCCTGAGATTGATGAGTTAAAATTATCAAAATGAATAACGTTGTAGAAAGAAGAAGACCATAGAATAGGCATGAATAGGAGGAGCAGGTACATGTGCTTTGAGATGGTCATCCAATGAGCGCAGTGCATCCAACAATTCCTGCTCAGAGCCATCATTGGGATCGTTGCTCTTTAAGAACTTGACAAAAGACGGGAATATTTTGGATACCCTGCAATCCCAAACGTATTTTAACACCATAACACGTAAAAACATGTTGTCACTTAGATTGAGAAGAGATGGTACACATTGAGACTATCTACATATACGTTTTCTGCCCATGGCGATTGAAAAGCTTAGTAATTTCTATTCTGACTGGTGAAGGGGAAAACAACTTATAACAAAGGATTATCATTTATCAGAGAGGAGGTTACTGGAACAACCACCCCACACCCAAAAGAAAAAAGGAAAAAACACATAGTTATTAAAAATAAAGGAGCTCTACAGTGACAACTATATGCTATACAAGCTAAAAACGAATTTAAAAAACAAAAATGTATGCAGTAGCAGAGAGAGAGAGAGAGAGATTACACGGAGGCATATTCAGGGGGAGTAGTGAGAGGAGGGTCGGGAAATTTCTCCTCGATAATCTGGGTGATGACATCGGAATCGGAGATCCATTTGTCGTCGGATTTAAGTACGGGAACCTTCCCTTCTGGGTTTGCCTCCAAGAACCTAACCAAACATCAAAACAACAATAACAATTACAAATTTATTCATTCCAAGGAGGCAGGAGCAAAGCAAGATTCAACCAAACATGAAGACAAATGATGGGAAAAAGTAATGTATGAATTCTTTTGAGTAAAAGCTAAAAGGAAAAAAAAAACAAATGTGAAATAAAATGAACAGAAGTCAGATTAGATTCTCACCATTGAGGCTTGTCATTGACGTTGATCAAGTGCATCTGGTAGGGAATGTTCTTCTCCTCCAGAGTTAGAAGAACCCTTTGGCTGAAAGGGCCTGCTTGTCACCGATCAATCCCAAAGAAAACCCGTGAATAGTTAAGTAATACAACAAAGAGAGTAAAAAAGAGGGAGAGGATAAACACATAACAAATACAGAGAGAGATGAAAGAAAAAATGGAAAAGGAGATCCATCTTACAATCTCCAAGGACATCAGGAGCACCAACGGCAGCCTTCACACAAACTTCCACGGTCATTTTGCTGGTTTTCCGGTGATCGATATTCCTATTGATTACAGAATAGTGAATACTAGGAAACAAAGAACAGTACCACTCTTTTAAGGGTGGGAGTTTTAAAGCGTGTGTGTGTCAGTGTATGACAACGTGGGAGACTTGGAGTGCTATTGTCCACCGGACTTGAATCCAGACCCTTTTAATTTTATTTTATTTACCATTAATTTATTTTAACAAATGATTCGGGCATACTCCTTTTGATTGTGAAAGGTCTATGGAATCATTGATTTCTTCAATAAAACATAATAAAGCTCAATGAGGCCATCTTACCTAGAAGTATGCGACTGTAACAACAATATTATTACTTGCTAGCATCGATATGCTATGCCAACGTCATGTCAAAATTCAAGTTCAAACTCATTCCCAATTAACAATCATCTCTCTAAAAGCTTTGGGCAACGTCCCAAATCACAGAAATCATCAGCAAATGAGCAAATTGGAATCCACAAATCAATTCATTCAAGGCTCTAACCAAACATCCTCTTAAAAAACAAGAATATATTCCCTTAGACATGATCAAAGGTGTGCCCTTGATGTGTCAAAATCACTCCTTTGCATCTTTACAACTAGACAAACAAGTTTAAATCATTGATTTATCCCCCCATTTACTTTCCTCTATGTGCACTCTATTCATCTCTCGTTTTCGCATTTGTTTTGGTGTGCCTCTCAAATCTCAATTGGTCTTTTGATATACCAGGAACGAATAAACATATCTAGTTTTTTAAATGGGGCACATCCCAAGCCGCTATTTGTTATAACAGAAGTCAAAACACATGTACCTTTGAGATATTGGAAGGTGTACTCCCTTCGTCAACATGGGTTATGTGAATTCAGTACACCTCACAATTCGTAATGATATATTATAGTTTGGGTTAGTGAAGGGGAGAAAGATTCTCCATGCAGGGGGGATGTTGTTTATAAGGGGGCTGGAGATAAATACATTTAAGAAATTAATTTATGAATTCCGAAGCGGAGTGGACTATAAAAACGCCTTGTTAATAATAGCATATGCCAAAATTTCTTTATATAATTATCCATGGATTTCTTCTAAAATCTTTTGTTTTTAATTGAAATTATTCAAAACGGGTTCGGATGTAGTAGGCACGTTAGGTAAGCACAGTGAGTGAGCACGTAATAACTATGTGATACATGTCCTAGCTAATGCGCCTTTCATCCAAACGTTTTTGCTCCGTTAGACAGCAATAATTAAAAATAAAAAAGGAAAACATAAATGAGTCCCAATTTCCAACACGTTTAGGTTTTCCTTTTTCATTGTTTTTATTTTTAATTATTTTGATAAAGATAATAAAGTAATTGATAAGAGCAAAAACGTTTGAACGAAAGGCGCATTAGTTGGGGCATGTGTTGCACAGCTATTATGTGCTCCATTGTGCTTACCTAACGTGCCTACTACATCCGGACCCATTCGAAACATGTGCAATTAAACTTATTCACGGGCGAAGCTAGGCCAGCTTCGAGCCAGACTTTATTTCTTTATTAACATTTAGGCCCAAGCTCAAGTTCATCCCGGCCATCGGGCCTAAATTTTGAACCCAAGCCCAACCCAAAAACAATGTCGGACTTGGTGTTTTGTACCCAAATGTGCAATAAAAGGACAGGTTGGGCCGAGCTGACCCATTGGGCTACCCGACCCATGAATAAGTCGACGTACAATACATGGGCTTTGTTAAGTGAAATTAAAATAGAATGATCCTTACTATACTAAATAGACAATGGGCCAGACTTCGGGCTCAACTTTACATTATCTAGGGCTCAAGCTTTGAGCCAACCCATTAGAATTTTGGCAAAAGTCTAAGCCTAACCCATGAATAGATAATGTGGAGAATTTAGGATATGCATAAATATGCTAGTTAGAGAAACACACAATGACACAAATTAAAAAATATCAATTAATAACACTAAATCCAAGTCTTAAATGATTATAAATAAGGTATATATCCATAAGAAACAAATATTTTGATACTTTGGTAAAAAAAAATCTTGATTTCTTGATAATTTAATTATGTGAGGTGTGAACTACTAGACTACACTTGGAAAACATTAAAAAAGTATAAAAAACTAAAAATTTGCATGTATTTCTTAATTCTTAGTGGGCAAACATTTTTCTTATTAATATTTATAAATGAAAAAAAAACCTATGTTGCTAGGAAGCTATTATACTAGAAGAGTCTTGACCAATCCCCTCACCCCCCTCCCCCCCACAAAATTTTGATGAATGCAACTTGATTCCTTTTTTGAAGTGTAAAAAGTGAAACTCCTAATCTTTTGTTTGAAAATTCTTGTTGTTGATGAATACAACCTCATTGGTTATAACTTTTATGAAATTGGTTGATTGGTTATATACACTAGTAAGTGCACACGTGCTTTGCACGTGGTAATTCTAAATGATGATGATAATGATAGTAATAATGTATCTAAATTTTTTTATAAACTTTATGTATTTGTTTATATATATATTTTTTATTATTAATCAGATATTGACTGAAAATTCAAATCTGATTACATAAACACCTCATCCAAATATGTGATAATCGGATCAAGTTGTGAATTTTATTTGGTTAGATTCTTCTTTTTGTAATATTTAATCCTTTTGTGTATCTTTTTTTGTTCATTTATCAAAAAATGTAAAATTTAAATAAATGGAATTGAATGGGGTGAAAAATAGTAGTTCATTTTACAATTTAAACCTCATAATTAAATAGGGACTAAATTCAAAACTGAGTATTTTAGTGAAAAGAAAGTTCCACAATCTTATTCATATTTTTCATAGTAGTGTAAATATATAATTATAGATGTGTTCAATTTTTCAATATTTTGTTGTATTTGTGTGTAAAAACAATTCTAATGTCACATTTACTTTTTGTTTAATATGATAAATATATGATATTACACATGTGCCTAAATATTTTTTGTAAAATTTATATATGTTTTTCATTTTTGTGTTTTTATATTTTATTAACTTTTATTATTTATTTATGACATTAGAGGTTAACATGTTTGACCCAAAATTTGGACTATTTATCTTTGCCAAACAATAAAATAATTTCGTTTTTTGTTAGTACTAAATTATGCATTTCATTTTCATTACCAATAAAAATAATTATTGTTTATTACACTTATTTTTTTAATTTGATTAATAAAAATATCATAAATGTGTAATTTTTTCTATATTTTTTGTAAGTTTCTATATTTATTTCTATTTTAAAAATTTTATTACCTAACTATGACTTTGTAGGTTGATCAATTTGATCCGGATGGTTAAATTGCTTAGCCACCACTTGGATTCAAAATGGTTTTGTTTTTGAGTCAGCTTTAAAATATATGGATTTATATTGTTAAAATATTTAACACAAATCTAATTTAATAAGAGAAAATGATTTTGTTAAAATATTGTTTATTACTCTAAATGCACAATTATGGAAATTTTAGTTGCCATTAAAATTGTAATAAAATAACTTTTATACCTTTTCTCAAACAAAGAAGTAGAGGATAATTTTAGTCCAAAAAAATTTCACATTAATATATATATATATATTAATAATTGAATGTACCCTAAAAAAAAAGAAAATGGCTAAATGCTAAAATTTAAAACAAATATAATTATCACAGTTAAGCAAGTATGGTGGTGACTTGTGAATTTGAAATAGAAGCCAATGATTCTAAATAAAGAAATTAATGGGAGGTACTAGGAGATGTCTTAAATTAATTAGGAGAGAGTAGGTTTTGAATTTTTTTTTTTTTTTTATGGAAGAGCCAGTAGGCAAAATTTCATTAGCTCAATGAAACATCCATTGCAATAGTATTACATAAGAAATCCAGAAGAACTGGCCAAGTAAAAGGTCTAGGCAGAGATAAATCCCGTCTAGCTAGCAACTAAGGGAGCAGCAACATTTGCCGTCCGGTGCACATATTTCACTCAGCATGGACGAAGGTGAGATAACAGAATCTTGTAGGCAATAATTATATGGAACAACCACCATGGCAGAAAGGGAGCATCCACCAACATGAGTTGGAAAAAGCTATAAACATCACCTTCAATAATAACATTGATAAGTGAAACTCTTGAATTAATGAGAGACCTTTAATTTATATATAGCCACTGCTTCAGCCATGGCAGGGCTCTCACACTGAAATAGGGAAAACAAATGTCATAAAGTTGAGTTTGAATTTAAGAAAAGCAAAGCAAATGTGATGAAGTTGAGTTTGAATTTGATTTCGAAGCGATTGATATTTATGTGGTCTCATGATTTACTTAGGTTGTGTTTGGTATTCAAAAGTTTTGAGTTGATCGATGTAAAACATGTATTGTCACATCACATTATGAGAGTAGTTTCAATTAGAAAAATGCAAACTTTGCATTGAAGGAGAGAATTAATACAAATATATTCAAAGCAAATACAAATAATATTGTCATGTTCATGAACCTTGCATATTTATATTTAAACTCTTTCCAAATGAAGCCCAAAGTTAGTCAATGTAACAAGTGTGGATTTCAATATTGAAATTCATATTTGTATCCATCACAATCAAAATCATTTCGTAAAAATGCAATATTAAACCAACTTTGCATTTTTTTCTTTTTTTTTTATAAATGGTGCATGGTGCATATTTGTATTTGCAATCTTTCCCAAATAGAGCCTTATGGTTACAACATCTAATTTAAACATTTCAAATTCAAATAGTAAATCAAGATAAAAATTAAAAGTAAAAACAACACTACTTCTGAACATAACCTTAATATTATTCAATAGGGAAATTGTCTAAAATTCACCATCACTTTTCATGAATTCTCTTAAACTCACTATAATTTTTCAAAACGTCCAAAACTCCCCATATCAATGAGATAACAGTAACTTGACTAATAGACGTTGTTAACTTACTATTTTACCCTTTTTTATGTTCGACCCATTTTGCAATATCCCAAAATTACCCCCATCATTCTTCACCCCAAAACCCTAATAGTTTGAATGAAAGAGAACCATTTCCACTGCTTCTTCCCATTTGAAAAAGAGAAAACCATTGCCATTTGCTGTTGCTTCTTCCCCGTCTGAGAAATAGA